GGGAGGAGATTCTTCGACTTGTAAATTCTACAAATTTCACAAGTGAGAAAGGAATTAGCTTAATTTCCAACTTGTTAAATTGGCTACAAATTTCAAGCAAGTGAATTAAGGAACAATCTCGGCTTACTTCAACTTGTAAATTGCTACAAATTTCAATAAGTGAAGGTAAGGAATCAGCTAATTCCAATTGTAAATTGCACAAATTTCAACAAAAGTGAATTAAGGAATAACGTCGGCTTAACTTTCAACTTGTAAATTGCTAAAATTCACAAAGTGAATATAGGATCAGTTAATTCCAACTTGTAAATTGCTAACAAATTCAACAAAGTGAATTAAAGGAATAACAGTCGGCTTAACTTCACTTGTAAATTGCTACAATTTCCAACAAGTGAAGTTTAAGGAATCAGCTTAATTCCAACTTGTTAAATTGCTACAAATTCAACAAGTGAATTAAGGAATAATCTCGGGCCTAGCTTGCCTGAGTTTGATATGTCTTCAAATAACATCCATGCATAACTTTATCAAATCGAACATGTTGAAAAAAGGAATTCTGAAAAGACTTTATTGATAATATCGCAAACAATGATGTTTATCTAAATGATAGAAAAATTTCAAATTACAAGTATTCCAGGTCTGGGCAATGCTTGCCCTCATTGTCGCTCAGCCGATATGCTCCATGCCTAATACTGAAGTAATTCTGTAAGGTCAATTCCCAGATTTGGGCGCGAGCTGCCCTCCCTGGGGATCCTTCTTGTTCCCTTGACGACTTTTCTTAGGACTAGGTCGCCAAACATTGAAAATCTCTTGGATTAACCTTCTTGTTATACAGCTCTGGCAAGCTGTTGCTGTTACTGCGAGCTGATTGCAGCTTTCTCTCTTCGTTCTTTCCATAAATCCAGGTCTCGGGCTAAGAGTATGTCATTGGTGCCATCTCTACTCCCTGGGTTCTGATTCCCTGGATGCGATCTCTAAATGGGATGACTTGCTTCTGTGCCCATAGGCCATGGCAAAGGGGATTCTCCTGTTGATCTTCTCAGGCGTAGTCTCGATAATGCCCAAAGTACGTTGGGCAACTCGCCACACACTTTCCTTTTGCTGCCTGCAGCCTCTTCTTTATTCATTCCAGGATTACTTTGTTTTGGAGTTGCCTCTGCTTGCCATTCTTTGAGGAAAGCTTGGTGTTGAGAAATAATCTTGATCTTGAATTATGCACAAAAGTTTTTGATAAGTTTGCCTGTCGAACTGTTTCCCGTTGTCGGCAAACTATTGCTCTGGAATCCCCAAATCTTGTGAAATGTTTTTCCATATAAAATTCTTGACGTCCACATCTCGGATTTTGGCAGAGGTTCTGCCTCTATCCATTTTGTAAGTAGTCTGTTGCTACCAGCAAGTATTTTCTCTGCCCAGTTTTCCTGGGAAAGTTGTCCAAACCAGATCCATGCCCCATTGGGCCAACGGCCAAGGGCTGGATACTGGGTTTAGGTCGGCAGCTTGGCTGATGTATCAGAGGTTGCAAAATTTGAGCATTGTTCACACTTCTTTACATTAAGGGCTTTCCGGCATCACTTTTTGCATGTAAGGCCACCAAATAACCGCCTGGGTAATGGGCCTGTGGGCTAACGATTCTGCCCTCCAACAATGGCTTTCACACATTCCTTCATGAAAATCTCGTAAGAAAATCTCAACCTGCAAAGGGTGTACGCACCTTAAAAGTGTCCAGTGGAACGACCACCTGTAGAGTGGCCTTCCGCTGTTTAAGACTGAATCTTCTGGCCGATTTCAGCCTAATTTTATGTGCTCTCTTTATGGTCTTCTGGCAGCTTCCCTTCTTTTTTAGGAATGCATGATTGCATCCATCCAGCTTGGGCCCAAAGCCCACGCACAATTGCTTTTCTTGTTCGATGCTCTGTTTTATCTATGCTCGGCCGACATGTAGTCGATCATAATTGTCCTTGTTTTTTCCCAGTTTGAATGAGCTGGGCCAGGTTGGCCTACGGCGTCGGCGTGGGTTGTTGTCATCTCGGCTACTTGGAGTAACTGCAGTTCTGGAATAGGGCTGCCGTCGGATGACTTCCCTTTGCATATGCCGACATTCTTTCTCTCTGGCTGCAAATTCTCCTGTTGACGGTTAAACAATCAGTTGTGAACACAAAAAACAATTAACCATCGTCTGCCTCTGCTGCTGCTGGGCTACTTTAGCCTGGCAATTAATGCTTTCATATTCCTTGCTTCATTATTGGAGGGCTTTGAAACCCCAGACGGATGGACTGTTCTAACATTTCTCCATCTGGAGCTTATCAAAGCAGTACTCC